CTCTTCATTATTTTAGTCCTCCCATAAATTAAAAATTTTTTTTATTTTGGGGGGGTTTTTGGGGGGGGGGGGGTGAAGACAACAAACAGGTGCACTGAATCTAAATCTGACATCTTGTGTGTTTAATGACGTTTCAAACGAGACGCTACCTTGTCAACCAAGTTGGCTGCTCCCAGTAGCTTCTGTCTTGTCTTGTCTAAACTCCTATCGTGGCTCTCGAACTGCAACGCAACACGAACCACAATAAACACATAAGTGATGCATGTGCTGCTTTTCTGATTAAATCCATCTTAGTTATGACAGGGGGAATTTCTCAGAGATGTGTCTAAATAGAAATAGTCGGTGCAATGTGTTCATTAGTTCATGTTTACCAACTAAAAATTTAACAGCAACCATGTAAGATGGAAATTTATATATAATCTAATCATGTACTGATATATTAATAAACACGTGTGAATTCCACATATACTTCTCCAACTCCTATGTTTAAAGATGCAAAACCACAATTAGCATCTGATAAAATGCGACCATATATGGACATCTCCCAACCTGTTTCCTTACCTCAGCTCTGTCTGCAACCAACAGAAGCTCCACATATTTCATGTTCTGCATCACCTCCCTTTTCTCCTGCATATAAAGACGGTTGAATGAGTTAACAGTGTCATACACCCCTTGAACATTTTATTTACATTTTGTCACATCGTAACCACAAACTTTCACTTGCTTTATTAGAATTTTACGTGTCAGCGCAACACAAAGTAGTAGCTTTATCTCTAGAGGTGGCAGCAACAGGTCAGAAGAACTTACATGAGTGTCCCTCTTTGCTTTGTCTGCATTCCTCTGAGTCAGCTACTTTTCGTTGGCATATTCTCAGTAAAATACGTTAAAGTTTGTTGTTCTGAACACGTTTAAGGGTTAGGAACATTTATGAAAGCCACTTTAAAGTTTTGGTTCTCATTAAGATGGCAACCCACCCTCCCAATCCGTGGAGACGCCGTTCCTCGGATGAAGTCATTAAGCCTGCCCCGATGCTCCTCATCGCCATAGTGATGTGTGCAGCTCCCCTCGGGCAGACGGAGACTCTCCGCTCTGAAGACAGCATGCTGCCGGGCACCGGTGGAATCGGGAAGAGGCTCTACTAGGTAGCTCACGCTTTCGTTCAGAGAGATCAGTCCCCTGAGGAAACGACACGTAAAGTCATACATCATCACGGAAATCAGTTCGCTTCCTTGATTTGGAAAGAGTGCCAATAATAAACCCATTTCTTTCTACTGCTTTACATTTTCACAAGTAATACATTTTCAGCTGAAACAGAGGGAAAAAAAACCCCAGTAGATTTCATTTTGGTTTCTTTCACTTTGACAACTTTACGTGTTGTCAGGACAGAGAAGTGCATGCCTCCTGCTGTTGACAAATAAAGATCAGCTGGGACCGACGCAGCCGAAGCACAATCCTCTCGGCTTCTCCGCATAAGCAATGCGTACAACAACAGCAGGGTCGCGCATCTGCAGAGAACATCTGCTGAAGTCGGGCGCCCACACATCGGCGTCCCGCTTTTGATTTGTTTGCATTCCTGAAAAGAATCGACATGGAGATGTACTCCTTCGCTTTCCCTCCAGATGTACGGCCAAGCATAAACACTTGATTTGTGGCAGGGTTCCTCCTCGGCTGAAAGGGCCTCCAGCGGGAAACATCAGCAGCTCTGAAGCCGCAGGAGGAGAAAAAAAAAACACAACAACAAAACACTAAGCTGCACTGGATGAACCTATTTTAGAGCCAATAACCTACTGACTCAAAGGACTGCATGAGAGATTAGACGCACTGCATAAGCGTTTGGCCCCAACATTATCACAGTATAAGTGTTTGCGCAGTGTTTTTTTTTCTTTTTTTTTGCAGCACAATTATTCAATTCACAGACAAGCTTCTCAGAAATGTCCCCTCTTGCATACCAAATATGCTTATATTTATTTATATATTGAGTAGTCTCAGTTTTGTTGTCAACGTTAGACATTTGTCGTTATCTATGTACGCGGGTCCTACATGGTTTTCATTCAGAATCACCAAACTTGTCAAGACTCTATTTTTTCAACCTGTGGTTTTTATAGTTTGTGGAAATTTAAATACAGAGAATTTTTTTTTAAAACTACTTTCCTAGTAGTTATATTTTTAAGTTCCACAAGACACAAATGTATACAGTACTGAAATAGAGAGAGGAGTAGCACCGCTTCACAGCTTTAGTTTGGCATCTGGATTTGTTTAGATCAGCTCTATTTCAAAATCTGTAACTCTTGCACTTGACAAATAAGGACTGGGTTATCTGTTCAGTGTTTCATCCAGACTCCATTTAGACACTACAGGTTCATTTCAATTTGAATTTCATGATTCCAAAAAGCAGTAAAATGGGCATTTTCTACTTCTGAATGATTAGTCAGTCTGATAATTAGAAAAAGAAAAAAAAGAGGTGGATTTTCACAGCACTGTGGGAATCCACAACGCTGATTGGTAAAATCCTAAAATCAAGGTGGGACATCTCAAATCAATGATAAAAAAACCAACCCTAAAATTTTAATATAAAACAATATAAAATTTAAAGACTAGAAAAATTTACTGTAAGCCACACTCTTAATAGATGCTTCAAAAATATCACTCCAAATAAAATAAATGCATATAAAAACTAAGTTTTTTAGCTACTCTATTTTAATTTACTGAGATGCATATCTGTATTAAAAAAAGAAAAAAAAAGGTGATTGTAAAAGTTTCTATCATCAAGATACGATGATGGCACATCTACAGTTAGAATACTCAAACATTATCACAGCATAACCTAATCAATTACAGGTAATAGATTAACAGATACTGGTAATAGATTCCACTCAGATCTTCCTGTTGTTAGTTAAGGAAACATGTTTTTTCTGTCAGCCTCAAATCTGACGACATGTATTTCTCTCTACGGGCTGAAGAGTTGTTTTTTTTAACATTTGATTCTATGAACTCTTATGATAATACTCGTAAAAAAAAAAAAGGCGAACATTCAAAAGTATACCTGCTAAATTCAGACAAACCAGTCTGCTTGTGCCTTCATTTAAAGTGCATTATGCAGGTACTTTAGGGTGAACAAGGAACCAAACATCTGAAAAAAAAAAAAAATGATAAAATAATTTCTGTTTTGCGAGTAAGTCATATAACTGAAAACTACAGCAACCTGCTACAACAAAATAAATTAAAAACCTCCCATCTGCTAGATTTAATGAATATTTCTGCTCCTTCATCAAAGCTGTAAAGCCCGGCCTTTGAGAGTGAATCTATATATTTACTGCAGTCTGCTTTGTGAGTTCAATGCACGAGTAAATAAAAGTCTGTGAATAAACGTTGGTTTTCTTTACCTGATCCCTGAACAAGTGCTGACAGCAACACTGGAGCCTTCAATGCCCAGAACTTCGCCATGATAGAAACAATTTTCCTGAAAAACAAAGTCTCGTTTCAACCCTCAGCTTTCTGTTTTCAATGTAACGTTCTTGTATTTTCAGAAAGAAACATTCTTGCATGTATTTTCAGAAAGAAACATTCTTGCATTTAACACCGACGCTGATTTTCACTTGATTTCCTCAGGTTCACATCGAATCTTCCTTTTTTTTTTTTTTTTCTCAGAAATGCGCTGTAATGTTTTTTTGCTGTGTGATTTAGGAGCATAAAACTGTTTCTTTAGACTCACGGTGCTGGCAGGAGAAGCGGACCAGCGAGCTCCATCAGGGCTGTACCAGATTTCCTGATACCCAGGGGCCAGCAGCTGTCTGGAGGCAGTCAGCACAAAGAGGACGTAAACATTGGAGACACAGAGCAGCAAAACATATAGAGATCTCAAGGGTGAACGTGAACCGTGGGCAATGGTTAACAAGCAACAGCTGAAGGAACGAAGATAGTGAAAGAGAACATTGCATCTCAATCTTGTAAACTATTCATTCTGGGAGATAACCTCACTGAACCAAAGTGCTTTAACGATTTTCTTAAGCAAATCTGAGATAGTAACGAACAAAAAAGATGTCATGAGTGTTTAAATAAATCTATATATATGTTTTCCTGAAATCCTTCACCTGCTGCCCGGATTGTGTAACTCAATGGTGAAAAAGCATTTTGTGGACGAAGTTAGCTCCCCATGTTCCAGATGTATTTTTTTCTACAATAAAAACATTTCTCAATTGCTAAACAAGTCTGACTCCACCGCAGAGGCTGATAAATCAGTGGAGGTTGCATGGATGTCTGGACATTGAAAAAACATTGCTTTGGGTAAAGCCTTGCATTTGTCTTATCCTGCATCTCCGTGTGTGCATGCGTGCGTGTGTGTTTGTGTGTGTGTGCACGTGTGTGTGTGTGCGCGTGCGTGCGTGCGTGTGTGTTTGTGTGTGTTTCAGCAAGGGCCTTTGGACTCAGATCAGCGTTGATGCTTCTTTTCCTGTAGTGCTCCGTCCAACTGTGTCTCAATCCATCCTTCCTGTTTTCATTCATAAACTTTGTCTGCCCTGCAGATGGTTTTCTTTTGCTCTGCCTCTGCAAGTGTATTTTTCTCCCCTAAGATTGAACTTAGAATCCTTTAATCATTAGTCCAGCAAATTCCAATTAGAATGATAGATGCATTTACCAAATCAAGTGACAGCCGTGACCCAGACCAATTTGACTGAAATGCATTAGGTATTGTAGTTTTATTTTTTTAATATTCAGTATCTGTTTCGTGCTGCAGCACAAAAGCTGGAAGACAACATTGATGTTGTTTTAAACACCGGGTGAAGTTAGCTTAATTAATCAAACAACTGACTTTGGAAATGAATTGTCCTTTCACTAACACGAACCAAATGTTAGCTAGCATTCTGAGCTTTAGCGTAGCTAAAAGCTAAGCAACTATAGATCTCTCTGAAGTTGTAATTCAATTGAAATACGGGGGCTTCTTTTAAATTCAAACTCCAAGCTAAGCTTGTAGCTGCACTTATAACCTGTTTGTATCTACTGTATTTTCCGGACTATAGAGCGCACCTCACTATAAGCCGCACCCACAAAGTAAAAAAAACAACAACAACAACAAAACTTACAAGCTGCAACGGGCTATTTGCAGCTGGTATCTCCTCTCATGTGGGTTCCATGATGAGGGGGTATGAGTTTGAAAACATTTCTCCTTCGTGCCAGCTGCTAGCATGTTGTTGTAAACGAAAATCAGCACTTTCTTCTTTGATTTACAATTTTGACTTCCAATGATTCCCTTCCTGCTAAAGAGCCCCCTGGTGGTTGAAGAAAAATCCACAGAAAAGCCGCACCGGGCTGTAAGCCGCATGATTCAAAATGAGGGGAAAAAAGTACCGAAAAATACGGTACTTATTGGAAAATCAATGTTAGACAATGTGTTTCTACAGTGTACGAATGCACATAAGGCTAATAAATTCAGCCGAATTAGCATTAGCATGGCATTGCTAAGAAAGCTCAGGCTGCTTGTCATAATTGGTCATTTCAACCAATCTATTGTACAAGTGCTTCACGTTTACTGCACCATTTGAGGAATGTTTAATTCCATTTGAAATTCAGACACTACATCAATAGCTCACTTCTGAATGAGGGAATAACTGCTAAAACATTTCCCAATTGAGTTCCATCTCCAACCTAACCTCAACCTCCAATATGGCTTCTACGTAAGATGTAGTGGTGATGATGCATTGGTAAACATTTGTATATCATAGGGTAAACAATGTATTCAGTTCAGTACAACGTCTTTTAAGGACTGTGGTGTTGCCGTGTTTGAATGTATAAAGTGCTAAGAAGTACCTTTCTGTCAACTGGTGCTGCTAACAGAGGAGTAACTGTGCTAAAGAATTATCAACAAGTCTGATAATCTATACAATGAGCTGAGAACATTAGCACAGTATTAGTCAACTCAGGCTACAGTGTCTGATGGTTTACCATGAACATTTCTAGTGAAATCCAAACACCACTTAAAAATGGCTGACCACTTCAACAGCTAAATTCAGACATCTTTGATCTGTGTCCTCTCGTTTCCTGCCGTATATGTATATTTGCTAAATTAACACACTGCTTGCTTTACATACAATGCATATCATACAAATTGCATCTCACAAGGACGCAAGTGAGGAGATCTCCCAAAATATCTGTTTCTCTAAAGCGTGATTGGGACAAATGAAGGGAAGTCTTTTCCGTCCCCTGTCAGACGCCCTGAGGGAGGCCAGCCACTTGAAACAATGACAGCCTGTTGATGCAATCTTCAACAAAGCAAGTCACAGACAGAAACGACTACTTCATCATCCACAGAGAAAGAGGAGGCTCTAAAATTACACACGTCCCACATAGAGGATTTAAAACTGATCAGTCACTGTCATCGCAAACAGGGCAACCCCCACAGTGTTTGGATTTGACCTCCTGACCTCATCTGGCCTTTCTTTAGTTTTGCAGCCTCTTGAACTCAGATTCCCGTCATGATCTCGGGTTATCTTTAAGACTCTGTGGTTTTCAGAGACCGAATGAACGACAAACTCAACTTCGCTCTGCTGCTACTTCGCAGCTCTTTTATATGAAGGGCAATTATGTCGTCTGAAAAAGAAACAAATGACTCCGTCTCCATTCTTGCTTCTGTTCACACGCCAATCAGCAGCTCTGTGCCTGAGCAAAACCACTCTGACATACCAATCCTTGGGGATAACCGTTTGTGTACACTAGCAGACTGATGGCTATATAACCTGCCCCGGCGTGACACATAGTCAAAACACACCATCTATGAAACTATACAACTAGCCTCTACCGCCAGCAACACATTTGTTACACCCTGGTGCAGCTCCTGTCGGTTCTTAAGGGTGTTTGGCAGAATTTATTTAAAAAATGTATCCAATCAAAGCTGCACACATAACATATTCCATTATCTTTATGGTCATTTGCATACCAGAATGCAAAGGTTGGCATGCTCATTCTTATCATCAGTAGGAGATGTGACATAGATTAATTCCTTTAACCGGTATCTTAAATAGAGTAGGTAAAAGTGCCACACTAAATCACAGAGGATGTGATCAACGCAGTTTCATTTTGTCTCAGTATTTCCTGACAGATGGGAGGCGTCAACTGGTGATTAAAAACTGGAATAAACAGCGGCGACGAACCTGCGTGACAGAAACTGTTTTCCTTTTCAACAACCATGTGCGCTCCAAAAGCACAAGGTCAACTTTACTAATTTTACAAAGTCATATTCACAAAAGTATCAAACACTGCCAGATGAGTTTAAGAATATAATTCTGATTTGTAAAGATAAACTCAGTTAACCAAAACAGAAAACCAAAAGAGACATATTGTTGCCACAGTAATGGCAAAACAAGGATTTTGATCAAAGTATATTCATGTGGTTACAAATTGGTGTTAACACATAAAATCCTCCTTTGATCTTACATATCTTATTAATATGAATAAGTAGAAATCCTGGCTTGTACGTGTGATAAGACAAAAAATAACTTCACTTAGTATCTATGCACTTCACTGTACTGATCTAGCACATAAAATCCCACTAAAACAAACAGAAGTTTGAACCGTGATAAAATGTGAAAAATAAATTTGCGAGGGATGAAACACTTTAGGAGCAGCACAGCTAAGCATGGCCAGGCGCCGCGAACCTCATTCCACTGCCAAGTTTGAGCCAATCAGCCTAAAACGCATCCCATTGACTTTAGAAAAACCTAAAGCCTTTAGCTTATTTGCATTCCAGTAAATACCACGAGGGCTTTCAAAGTGAGACTGTAAAAGTCCTATGTGCTGGCCAACGACGTCTGGATGCCTTCCAGTGCTTGGACAGATGCTGTGATTTAGCACAGCAATGTTGCTGGAGTCTGGGCTGTCCAGCAAATGAAGCTGAAACAAAGAGCCGGTTCAACATTGGCAGGAGAAAGACGGAGTGGGGGAGTAATGCTAATGTACTTTGGAGATAGTGACGGGTGGGGACAGGGTTGGGGAGCGAGGGGGTGTAATGCAACAGGGTCAGAGGGTTGCATTCTCTCATAGTATCAGATGACATCACTGCACAGAGGTAGGGGGTCAGGAGAAAGATGGCTGACGCAGAGCAAAAAAGAAAAACTACATTTCTGCAAAGGCTTCTGAACAGGGAGGATGGCGAAAAAAAAAGATGACATCCCGCATCTGTTTTCACCACTGAGTCTGTAAAAGTTAGCTTGCGGATGTCATCTGTCTGCGTGTGGCCGCCGACTCCCTAAGCCTCGCTGCCGGGCTCGTTTATTTACACTGGAGCCCCGTGGGAGCGTCAGGCGAGGTGAGAAAACTCCGGTTTCCGAGCTGGTCAGTGGAGGACGGGACAAGATAAGGGCGGACTGAAGGAGAAGGAAAAGAGCAAAGAGGAGAGACAATGGCCGCGTTTCCTTAGGGAGTGCAACATTCAGGTTCATGCACTTAATGATGTGCAGGAAGGGCACTAAGCTGAAGAATAGAGAAAGTCAGGCAGTGGAGGAAGAGGTAGTATCCACACGGGTCCTGTCTGAACCAGAGAGATATAACTCACGCCCAAACCGACCCCAACTGTCACACTTTTCCTCTCAGCTCATCCTTGCTCAACCCTCCGGTCCATGACACGCCCTTTCACACCGCTTCCTCTCCATCTCGCTGTGTAGTTGCATTACCTTTCTTGCACTCTGAGTCAGCCTGCACTCTCTGGTCCTCGCCTTGCTCTTAACCGAATCAGCCCGACGCAAGTGCGCCGTGGCCTTTCATTTAGATAAAAGCTAATGCAGACACACACACACACACACACAGAGAAGAATGACTGGGAAGGACAGAAATGGATTAGGTTTGGACTCCGGCCACAAAGAAAACCAATGCCGACAAACACTAATGTCTATGTTTTCCTTCACGTTTTGTTGCTGCGACTGGCTAAAGAACAGATGAGGTAAAGCCGGGAGAAAAGAAGGACAGCTGGAGAACGATAGCCTTGGAGCGTCACAAGAGACAAATAAAAAGGATGACATCGAGATCGTTCCACAGCTGCTTTGGGTTTCCCATATATCTGCTGACCTTGTAACACAGTTTTAGGTGCAGAGAGGATACAGAGATGCAGCCAGGATACTACCATGGCATGTATTTACTGGCAGCGTTTCATCTGGCTGCTCCTGAAAAATCATTAATCTTCCCCCTCCGACACAAACTGCAGTCTTCCCCGGCCAAGCTTTTAGTCTCACAGCCATTTGTGTCTCAGCACTAGAAACGAATCAAAAGTACTTTGGGAGTCTTTATTGGGAAACAAAGGGGTGAAACAATGATTTGCGATGGGGGGGGACATAATACTAGTGCTAAAATTAAAGAGTGAAAAACAAAAAACAGGGTCTTTCCAGAAAGCATCAGAATTGTTCTGTAGGAACTTGAACATGAACTATTGTAGCACTCAATGCATTTAGGCATCTAGATGTGGTGAGGGTGATTTGCTGGAGTTCTAGCGAAGCACCAGAACGAGGACGGAAGAGGAGTCAAGTGAGTTTTGTTGTTGGTGGGAGATGGGATGGTCTGAGTATTCCAGAAATACCGTGTTGACGTCAAAAGTCAAAGAAGAATGCGAAAACTGGTTTGAAATGACACAAAGGAAACTATTTTTGGTTTCAAAGTAACTACATATTGTCAATTAAGGGTAAAAAAAACCCTGGAATTATTGGAGCACAATATTTTAGTAAACAGCAGTATCAGTGTTGGTTTTCTTCACCTCAAAAGCCTTTTGTCCAACAGCAAAGATTAGTCAGATATGAATAATAAATATTTATTTAAAGACCAAATATCACCATATATTAGAGCTAGGATATCCAACATGCATGAGCCATGACAAAGCAAACTGATGACGGTGCCAAAAAAAAGAAGGTCTATTTGCTGGAAGCAAGTTTTGTCAAAAGGACCAAGGAACTGAAATCTTGGATTGAAGAGAAACAACTGGGGTGTTGTTTGTGAGCATAAAATATTTACTTGGTATTTTTTTCCCTCTCAGTAGAAAACATTTGCTGTTCTCCTTAGATCACGTTACAAACTAAATCACTAACCATTATCTGTAAACATTCATTATAAAATGGTGGATCTGTGACTCCTTTTGTCTTCATGCTCAAACCAACAGTAGACGATAACACTCAACTATCAATGCTGCTGGAGTATTTCAGCTTTCTTTCTACATCACCACATGTTTAGCATTAACTTAAAAGATCTTCAAGGCCCCGCTATGGTGAAACTCAGCAGCCTGGAATCAGCAAAAAGCGCTTTTAAATCCCTGGGAAAGGTGCCGGTTTAATGGGTCTTCAAGCAACACTTCTTAGACAACATTTCTCTCGACTTCCTCCTATTCTCTGAATAAATACTTAGAAAAAAAACTTTGTAAGGTCAAATTTGAGCTACAGATTTTGCTGTTACAAAGATGGAGACAGTAAGCTCCAAACCCAAACATAATTAAAAAAGAAAAGTTGTAAAAATGATGACTCGTGGTGCTTAACAGCCTGGGCTGGCAAGCTACGCTGTGAAAGTGCACTAAATGTAAATCTGCATGCCAGGCAGATGGGCTGCAAGACACCATAAAACTCTCAAGGATCCAATTAAGTGTTAGAAGTTATGATGAGCGTAAATTTTGTTAAATATGTTTGCGTAATGAAGCAAGTGCAGTCTCTAAGTGAAGTGCAGCATTCGAGCTATTATGAACACGCAAAAATATATCAGGACAAAACCTAACTGGATGTCTTGAAATGTTCAGATCGTTTCCTGGCCCAGAACAGAGGAAAATTGCACAAGAAGGATTTCAAAATGCTGTTTTATCTTTGCAAGAAAAAGATCGTATTTCCTCTTTTTTGGAACAGCTTGTAATCATTTCTTGAGTATATTAACACCTTCTCCATCCTGTTCCGAGAAACACACTGTACAAGTTTTATCTAATCTATGTCAAAACCTCACGCCCGTCGCCTCATCAGTCATCGTTTCCCGCTCTGTCTTCTGACCACACATGGTCGGACAGGTTGTGATTGATGAAAATCCCTTCTCCCAGAGGGAGGTGGGAGGGGGGCCCCCACAGTGAGACCACCTGCCGGGTCGACGGAGCGGAGGGGAAAATCCCTCGGGGCGGGTGGGTAAGGGAGGAACGTTCATCCAGACTCGCTGGAGACGCGGCTCTGTGAGAATCCAAATGAGGAATACACTCGAGGGCAGAAGCAGACTCCGTGGCTGACGTTCATTAAGGCTCTGCTGTCCACTTGTCTGCTGGCTCCAATCCAAGTGATAAAACCTCAGCTCGTTTATCGTAAAAAACGCAGACCTACCCTGCAAACTTTCTATTAAAGAGGGGCAAGACACTTGGCTCTCGTTCTGCCATCGTCTCATTGTTAGTGGACAGGAACCGCAACATCAGATTGCAGGATGTTCGCTGGAGAGGCACAATCTCACTTCCTGTTAGCTCAAGGCGGACGGATCGGGTGTCTGTCGTCCACCACGACCCCCCTCCCTCCGCCCCCCCTCGTCATCACCCACCACCGGGGGCGCTGACCTTGTGAACGCGTCCATGTCACAGCTAACATCTGGTCAAACAAACAAGGGCAAGCAGGTCGGCCCGCTGATGACTGAGATGCCGTAATCCTATGGTTCTCAAGTGCCACTGGTGGTACTTGGGTTGTCGTTAGGGTTACTTAGAGAAAGTTTCACTCTTACAAAATAAATGTGGAGCAAATTAGCTGCAGGGGTAATAAATTAAAGATGCAACGGAAGGCTGATCTGGGCTTAAACAGGCTACAACCGAGATGAAGACGCAGTGGAGAAAATACCTCTGACTCCATAACCTTTTACCTTGGATCAAATAACATTGTCGAACCCGACTTATTCGCCGCTAAGAAAGAAAAGCCTCCCCACCGCATGATGTTGCCACCATGTTTCACCCTGTGGATTCACGGTGATGCACAGTGTAGGTTCTCTACCGCACATTAGCACATCGAATGTAGCCAAAATGTTTAATTTAAACAATCTGACCAGCTGACTATGTGGCTTGTGGCAAACCGTAAAAGGAGTTTTTATGGCTTTTCAGTCACCAGTGAGTTTCTTCTTGCCACTCTTTTGGGGAGAGCGCACTAGATTCTCCCTCCTGAGCTGTGAGTTTCTGCAGCTCTTCCAAGGTCACCATCTCGGCAAGCAGCCAATTGTGCCTACTCTTTGCATTTTTAGATGAATGAATGAATTATAGTGCTCTGTCAGTTACCATCCATTATTCATGTTTGGACTGTATTAAACTAATTTGATGACTTCTGGAAGTAATTTGTTGTAGACTGGATTTTATTTACGGGCATCCGAGTAAACCAGGCTTTACTTGTTCCCCCTGCAGGGTAAGCATGGCTTATTTTTTTTAAATATTTGCATTTTTTTTAAGACTTTATAGTTGTTNATCAGGTGTTAATCTTCCAATCTTTCAATAACACATAATTGTCAAGTGATATTTTCAAATTTCCTGTCTAACTCAAAAACGCGACGGGGCTGCTGGATGAATGACTGCCCTAGCGCCCAACCACTTAGCAAGTTTTCTGGCGTAAATCTTGATTCGTAAAATAAATTTGCACATCATCTAACACTTTGGCCTGCCACCAAAAAATCTGGTAACACTTTATTTGAAAGGGTGTGAGCCAACTTTGCATGATTTTGTAAATTATGATAATTTAATGCAAAGTTGGCATTTTTAATGGACTTTCAATGCAACTTTTAGAGCAACTTTGCATTAAAAGTGTCATTATTTACCGAATGACACTTCATGACAACTATCAGAAACATTCATAAAGACTTCTTTATGTTCATGACAGTCTTAATATGTTCATATTAGTCTTATGCACACCCCTTCAAATAAAGTGTTACCAAAAATCTCAATAAAATATACTAAACTTTATGTCCCCAATGTAAAAAAAAAAAAAAAAATGATGCTGTGTCTTCCTGAAGGTACACTCACTCGTTTTTTTCCAGGTGTATTCTGAGCTGCTGGCCCTCGGCTGAGATCAGAACCTGGACCTCTGCCGGATGCTGGAAAACACAAAACAGAAGAGATTCAGCCATAGCAACGCACACTGGCTTCACATGAGAACAAATCTCAGCTGTTTTGTTACTTGGGTAAATATCCAACATTTCTCTCTCTCTCTCTCTCTCTCTCACACACACACACACACACACACACACACACACCCCTTTTTGTTCACATCTGTTGTGTCTACACGGGGGCACCCACACGCGGGAGAGGACCT